GTACTTTTCTCTCAGTGAAAGATTGTCCAGCAAACTCACAAGCAGTGAATTGTGCACAATTATCTTCTTTTGAGTAGTTGGAGCGTTTTAATTACTTGCTTTCTCCTCCCTCGCCATAGTAAGCTACCGCCAAATAAGGCATGTGATAAATGGCATCAGTACTTAGTAACAGGTTATGATAATTGTTGTACCGATACCGAATTGTTCACATCTGTATCGTGGTGCATCCAAAAAACAATTAATTTTGACACCCCTGGTGTTTGGTTGTAGCGATTGGTGGTGTTAAGGATGAAACCGAATCGAATCCTGTCTCCTCTCATAGATGGACCCTTCTTACACACGTTTCCCCTCGGACGATAGCCCAGCCAGTTTTATTGGAGGGCCGACATTCTGCTAGAAATAAATGAGACATCACACAGAGCCAAATAGGAAGGCAGACAGAGAGAGAGCAGGAAAGAGAAATATTAGCGTGAAACCCTTTGCTCCATTTTCTCCTTCTTCTGCTTCTCTCTCTCTCTCTCTCTCTTTCTCTCTTTCTCTCTCTCTTTCTCTCTCTTTTCTCTCCCAGGGTGAGCAGATTGATGACATTTCTAAAGCTCCATGCTCTCTCCTCCCTCTGGTACGGAGGAAGTGCTCCTCTTCTGCCTCTGTGAATAAATCAAAACCCTTCCACACTGATCATGCCTGAGCTCTTCTGCTCTGCGTGTGTGTGTGCTGAGAGGTTCTGGCCATGAAGATCTGTCAGGAATAGCAGTGGGCCTAATCAGAAATAAGGGTTTCGGTCTTGGGAAAGGAATGATAGCAATCAGTGATGGATGGACGGATGGTTGGATAGATAGATGAAGAGGTATTGGTTGAGGGATGGTGAGGATTGCGTTGAGGGGTAATGCTGTGTGCTGTTAAGTTGGAGGTAAAAGATTCCTTCTTGACAGCCCTATTCCAGAACTTAGTCAGCTTCCTTGTGGTCTGCAGCCTAAGTAGACAGCATCCTGACTGAATTAAGTGTTCACAATGTGTAATGGTTTCTGGGATTGCCTTGTCAAAGAAGGGCGTTATTAGGTATATTTCTTATGGTGGGATTTATATCAGCTTTTGAATTATTAAGAATGTAGAGTTGGTGGTAGTGGTCTCTTAAAATCTTTGATTCTGATTGGTTGGTAGCTGATCAATAAAATAGTTTTACTGCACAAATAGTTCCGCTCAGATTTGATCTCAGTTTGAAATAAATGCGCTTTTCTCAAGCATTAGTAGTAACCATGGTAACTCTGATAGTTGTTGTAGCCTTTATTCCTTATTGTAAGCTAGAGGACTCTGACTTAACTTTTGCTTAAAATGTTTGCAAAGAGGTAGCTGACTCATGTCTAGACATATAGACATATGCTGTTGTTTAAAAGTAGTAGTAATAATAATAATAATAATAATAATAATAATAAAAATAATTATAATTGTAATAACTATTTAATTCATGGAGTTTGCATTTTGTACCCTTTGTTTGTGTGGGTTCATTCCGCTTTGGCGACCCCTGATTAATAAAGGGATTAAGCCGAAAAGAAAATTAATCTATGAATAATTCACTCATTCATTTTCTTTCGGCTTAGTCCCTTATTCATCAGGGGCCACCACAGTGGAATGAACTGGCAATATATAATTGGAGCAACTGTTTGCATGTGTATACGTATTCATGTGCATGTATATGTATATATGAACGATTGTGTATGTATACATATGCATGTATGTATATGTTGATAAACATTGTCTGATGAAGAGCCGGCGGCTCGAAAAGTTACATGCTCTGTGTCAGCCTTTTTAATTTAATAAATTTGTATTTTTGGAGCCTTGGTGTTGCTGCCTTTGATTTACATTTTTTAGCAACTGTTTGCAAGCATTAAAAGTGTCCAAGATGTCCAAAATCTTTACTCGCATTGACCCAGAGACTGTTTAGATGCATGTCACTAATGAGAAGATGACGGATGTTTACTGTATGATGACCGAAATGCCCTTAAACACCCAGCAGGCACAAGACGTTAACCTGACATTGTACCCCAACGTCATGGAGACGTTACATTTTTTTCAGAACTCAACGTCTGGCTGACGTTAATGTCCAACATTCAACTTAAAACTAACCAAATATTAACCTCTAATGATTTTACAGCTTGACGTTGTGTGGACATTACAACTATGACATCTATCAGATGTTGGATATTGGATATCAACCGAATTTCTTGGTCATTTGATGTTGGTATTAGAGATCAAAATAATGTTGTCCTTAGATGCTGGCTAGACCTTAAATTATCACAACCTAAATTTAACCTAATATTAACATCTTATGACGTTGTGTGCCTGCTGGGCAATAACTAAACGCACTACAGAATGTTACGTTTACACACATATACAAATTACATGTAAATGCATCAGCTTTTTTATAGCATAATACTAACTACTCACTACTCTTAAAAACTTTTTGAAAGCTCTACTTTTTACTCTTACTTTGAGTAGTATTTACAGCAGATACTTTTATTCCCACTACATTTTAAAGCAAGTAATGGTACTTTTACTCAAGTATGATTTTTCAGTACTCTTTCCACCACTGCAAATAATGTAGAAACAATTTCGGTATTTTGGGGAAAACTTTTTTTTCTTTCATGGAAAGATTGACATTTGCATGTAATTGCTCTATGGTCATCTTGGTTTATTGGCAGTCATGCTATGGACATGCCTAAATAAGCTAAGAAAACAATGAGAGAGAAATAATCCCACTGTCATATGAATGGTGATGAAAAGTATAAATGATGCAAACTTTCATTGTCAGTAAAGAGAAGTTTTGGATTTTGCCTATAGCACTGCCTTATTACACACACACAGACACGCACACACATACTGAGTCCTGAATGTCACGGTGGGTATTGTTTATTTATATGTTTACTCTCCTGCTGTCTCTCCCAGGCAGGAAGCCTCTAGTTTTACCAGTGAACTCTGCTTTCTGTCTCTGACTGCATTCATTCACTGCATTCACTCACATACACACATGCTCTACACACAAGTGGAGACCCCTAGAAAAGCAGATGTCCAGTGTGGTGTCATTAAGTCTGAATGTGGTCAGAGGCATGTATTTAACTGTGCTGATGAGACACAGGAAACTGAATGGACACCATCACACACTGAGATCAACCTGAAATAAATTAGACATGCTGGGCTCCTTGGATGTCCTCTATAGCGCCCTGATCCACAAGGTAATGCAGATCAATGTGAATAGTTTTTTTTCTATGGTGGATATATTTGATGTTTCAATGTTGATTATTTTTATAACTTTAAGTTATAGTATTTACCAGGGATGTGTTATAGGTTACCAGCTTGGTTAAATAGGTATACATTCATATTAATTCTGCTGTCAAATATATGCAGTAATTTTTAAGGGAATTTTGGATAAGGTGAAGGTATTGTAAAATGTTTTTTTTTTATGCTAGTTGGATATTAATTGTGATACTGTAATGTAGTTTCTGTTTAACTGCAATCCTCTCTGTTAATTGCCCATAGGGAAAAAAAAAAAATCTTCTTAGTTTTAAGCGTAACAATGAATGCATAAATTAATTGACTGAATTGAATTCAAATCACACAGATTGATGCAGTGATCATAATTTTCCATGGCAAATTCCCATTCTAAAGGGTAAAAAAGAAAATAAACAACAATCTGATTTTGTGAAATGATACTACATAAAACTAATTTCTGTGTGCTGCTGTTGTATTATAAAGTATTTGCAGCGCAGTTTGTACGCAAATCAGGACTTAGATCGGCACAATAAAAATGTCCAATTGCCAATTATACCTTTATTGCAAAAATCATCCAGTTCTGGTTTCCTGCTTGTCGATCGGTGCATAACTAATTTTGTACCTACAAGGAATGGTGTAAAACCGATGACATACGCTAACCCCACCATTTAAAAATCTTACTTACTTACCTACTCCCAGGGCCATTTATATCGAAGTTGACACCATATTGGTGTTTTGTAACTGCAAGTTTTTATAAAGTGTGTTGTTTGTCCAACACTCAACCCCCAACCTAGAGGACATACACACATACACTACGGACAATTTAGCTAACCCAATTCACCTGCAGCACATGTCTTTGGACTGTGGGAGAAACCGGAGCACCCGGAGGAAACCCACATGAACCCAGGGAGAATATTAAAACTCCACACAGAAATGCCAACTGACCCAGCTGGGAATCAAACCAGCGACTTCTTGCTGTGAGGTGGCAGCGCTACCCACATTTCTTACAAAATAATGTAAAAGGAAAAGGTTGTACTATATGTTGGCCAACTTGAAAAATATTGTTCAACAAAACAAACATGGTCTATCCTTAGTCTTTATTTTATACTGGTGCTAATATTTATCTTCAAGTCATCAATCTATTTTTAAAAATGTGTTTTGCAATATAATGAGAAATATGCCTATTGGTAATGAGTAATTGATTTTTAGCTATTAACTCGGCTTAATGGCAAGTGTTATATCTTTTTTGACTAAGTAATTTGCTGAGAACATTACGGTTGAAAGACTGTACACAGAGGGAATGATTTAATAGATTGTTCAAACATTAGGTTATCACCTATAGCTAACAAGTAAGTCTAATCAATTAATGTAATTGATGACTTCCTCTACTTAAAGGGTGAATGAGGACAAATGCATTCAATTTCACTTACTGTATTTTGAACTGCAGTGTGCAGTGCATAAGGTGTAATTCAAAAGTGAACAAATTAATATTTTGTGTACAGTGATGTATTGGTTGAGTTGCCTTTTAATAGCTGTTGTGCTATTCAGATTTATTTTAGTTTCAATTTGTTGAATAGAATATACTTAGTTGGTATATACTTACACTGTTCCTTAATGATAATTAAGTATAAAGCCACACAGTTAATGTTATGTTACTACAGTAAAAAAAGCACATGGCCACAAATATTTACCAATGACCCCATATTTACTTTATTAATCTGTGTGACCCTTAGCTGATCGCTGTATACGAGGAGCAGGAGGCCCAGCAGAGGGGTGCCATGAGTCCCGGGAATGGATCTGGGGCAAGAAGCAGCCTAACAGGCCAGTCCAGCCCAGAACCCTACGACTCTGAACTAGCCTGCTTCCAGCCAATCAAAGGAGGAGAGATCGAAGTCACCTCTTCTGCCCTTAAGTCCAGTATGTATGCAATAAAAAAGATACATTACAGTCTGCAAAAAGGGATAGTAATGCATTCACATTGGAGAAACAGAGCTGCAATCAAACATATATGCTTGTGAGTTAATGGTGAGTGAAATAATAGACTGCCACTATGAGAAATGATATTATATGGCATAATCGGGCAGGCTTTTCAGCTTGAAATGCTTTGAATCACTCATGTAGCCTTGAATAAATTAACATCGTTCCTTTCGCATTACGCCACTTGTTCATGTTAAAGTATCGATTTTAATACACAGTACACCTTAAGCAACCTCCCTGCCTCGTATTTTAAAGCAGGAATATAATCTACACCTTCAGAGAGAGAGATCAGTTGCTGCTTGAAAGTATGAAACTTTCTATGCAGGCTTTTTTTTCTCCATTTGTCACATTTTCTCTTAAATTGCACAGGTCTGGAATACTTCAGTCATTTCAGGTTATGTAGTACTGCACCTCAGGGACCCCATGTGTTTTTCATCTGGGCTGGTTTCACCTCTGCCTGATGTCATGCACACCTCCAGTACAGAAAACACACACCTATTTCTTCTAAATGTCAAAGTGTGTGTGTGAACATGTTTACACTCTGAAATTAAACCCTCTGTAAAATAAGCCAGGGAATGGTGCACACATATGTTCCAATGTGTGAGTGTCTTTGTGTCTCCTTGTAAATCTGGCCCTTTGTGTTTTAAGTTTAATTTTAAACATAGACGTGGGGCTCGCAAAGTTCAGCGCACTGGAAAAGTGGCGTTTTCTTCAGCGATCCAGGCATTCTTGGGAAGTGCTCGAGTTTCCTCGTCTCCACTTCAAGGTGGAGGTGTCGGTTGACTGAGTGATCTTTTCCTCTTACATTCTCCACGGCTGTAAATATGCCGTTTGTCACGTCGACAGGGGCTGACATACATCTGTATCTGGATCATTTGTTAAGAAGAGAGATCACACGTGCCTCTGCATATACAGACATGATGTTCGAGAGGGGGAAGTTGAGGGGAGAACACAACACATGGGATGTGAACATAGACTGCAGCCGGGTAATAAACTTCAGTAATATCTTCAGTGCAGTAGAATTATGCAAACTTAAATATATTTGCTTAAAAGATTAATAATGCTAAATAGCTGGTTTATTATAAAGAATACATTTCATTAGGTAATCCCCTAATGAAATGTGTTCTTTAGAATAAACAATAGTTTTAAATAAACTATATTTAAGCCTAATGTTACAACACAACTGTTAATTTTACTTTAAAGTAACACTCCAGTTTTATTTGGAAAAAAAAAAAAATCCTGAGTTTCCTAGTGATAATTAGTTTACCTAAACCATTTTTGAATCCATTCACCCGATTTATTCTGGCATAGTCTATTTTAACTTTTAACTTGGCATACTGAATTGAAATAATTTAGACCATTAGCATTTCATTCAAAAAAAGAGCTTTGATAATTTTGATAACTTTTGTACTTACATTGTATAATAAAACTATAATAATGATATAATTATTTTCTAGGCCAACATTACTAGGAATTGTGCTCTCATTCTACTGTAATGGTGCGGTTCACACCAGACGCGGATGACTTGTTAAGCGAGAGTGATTTACGTTAAGTTAAGTAAAGCTGCTAATAGTTTACTACTATACCTGGAGGAGTTGATGAACTCACAGAGCTAGGTGCACCTCTAAAATCAGGATTTAGTCGACCCAGACATGCCACCGAACAAATCTACACTGTTTTTCAGTCTTCCTAAGCCCATAAAGCACAGCTACTCTCTCAAGAAAATCCATGTTAGCCATTTAGTAATGAAACTAGAATCAGGCAGACAGATGCCCCGCCCATGAAGCGAATCCATGTCTATTATGAAGTGAATTTGATGCGTGAAAAAAAAGTGAAAAATGTTTAAAAATTTTTATTTTTACGCGCGAATAGTGTGATTTATTTGTGCAAGCCCTGTTTAGTGTAAACACAGCATAATAGTCAAGAAACTCTGCTGCTGTACCATGACTTCGTACACAGCTTGTGAGAATAGGCTACTTGTGTTTATTTATTATCATTCATGTTCATGAGTGCATAATGAACATAGGATGTAGATGTGAACTGAATGTAGATGTGAATAATTATTATACCCCCGGTTTCCACAAACAAGGTTTAACCCTCTGGGGTCGAAGACCGCGTATACGCGTTTTGACCTGTGGTGGCGTCAAACTGCTGAAATGAACTTAAATAACACTTTCAGTTTTGATCGTACAGATAAGATCAATACATCAATTGAGTCTGTTATGTGTCTACTTTTTTGTTGTGTACACTCACAACAACAACAAACGTGTGTGCTTTTGCAAAATAAGGAAAACAAACAGTGTAGGCATTCTGTCTTTTCTCTCTCCGTGAACTGCTTTTAGAAACGCACCGGTAAAATGCGCTATAACTCCGCGAATACAAAACGCACAAAGATGAGACATGTATTTCTAAAAAGCTTAAAGTGTCTACTTTTAAACGCAACTATGCATATTGAAAACAAACATTGCTTAATAAAGAAATCAGTATGAAACCAACGCTATGTCTAGTTTCTCAGTCTGATCTCATTAGTTTTAATGCGACCACGCCCACGGGGCATTATTATTACAAGCGTCTGAGGCGCGAGCAGACGGTGGTCAGAAAAACACGTCACTAAAATAAAAGGAAACTCGGCAAATAGTCATCAAAGATGATGATTTATGACATATATATAAAGCTTGATATGTCTACTTTTGCATTATCCAATTCAAGTCGAAAACAAATGATCTCTTTTTATGTAATCCGTATAAAAGTAAGGACTGGTTCGTATTCTCCTATATCGCCTCATTACAGCAGCGTGGTCCCACCTCTCAGTTAGCACGCTTCATATGTAAATCCAGATGTGAAAACAACGGAGGTAAAGGACCAGCGGCAAAGAGAGCTAAAGTAGACAAGAAGTTCTCCGAGTTTGTTCAGTAATGTTGATCTGTGTCATTCCGACAAACTATAAGATGAAGATGTAGCCTTCAACTTCACAAAATGTTTAAAAACGCTACAAAAGTGGACCAAGTAGTCCTGCGTCTGTGAGTCTCCGCTGATGTCAAGAAGAAGGCCAGTTGTTACAGTGAAATACTGCCTTTTTCCTGCGCCCCTCCTCATCACAAGATACCTGCCTTCAAGACTACATTTCTTAGTGTCCTTTGTAAGTTTATTCTTTAAATAATTACTGTGAATACCGATTGAGAGGATGATAACTTGCATCAAAAGCTGCTGTGATGCACGCGACTGTTTAAAAGATTTCATTATCGCACATGGTGTGTTTTTCACCTGCTTTCTTTTGCTTAGTTATTTTTGTTAATACGGATTAATCATCATTCTTTAAAATAACATTGCTCTAATATGAGATTACCAAAACTAACTCAGAATCGTATTATTATAATTCAAACTTTGTATATACTATTCCATATATTATAATTTATTGTTTTTTAACCAATTTAAGATGTTTGACAATATTTAGATAATATGTTGCATTTTGGCATGTTTTTTCACTTATTTATAAACTATTTATAGACATAAAGTTAAATAAAAAATATCCTGGGTTTGAAGAATATTGTGTTTCTGGACTTCACTGAGCTTAATAGTTTAATGTATAAAATTGTGAATGAGCTTGACTGTTGATGTCTTAAATAATAATGTCAAATAACCAACATTTCTCAAAATGGATAAATCTCATTTTGCAACTAAACTCTTCATTTACAAATAAAAAATAAAAATAAACAGTAGATTTGCTATGTGTAAGTTTAAACGTTTGCAGAGTTTTATAGAGTGTACTTGACAAAAGTATGTCAAGTTATTTTGTGTGATTAATATATTTTAAATAAACTGCAAACAAAAAAGTATATAAACATTTCTCTGATTCCTTCTTGAAACTCTTCCCTCCTAGTCACATACTGCACCTGTCTGATGGCTCATTATGCAGGTCTTTGTCTTCTCAGGTGTGACTCACTACATAGTAATGATAGTTCACGGCTTCCCGCATAAACCAATTTCACTTAAAAAGTGACTTTTAATTCATTATATTGTTTTCTGTGAGCAAGTTAACAAGATGATTCTCACATCATTTTGAAGCAAAAACACTAGACCACCAGATCCAGTTCTCAAAAGTCTTGTGCACAAATGTTCTCTGTGTGTTTCATGGCCTTGTTTCAGTGACTACAAAATTTTAGTTTTCACTAACCACGCATAAACGTTTCTTTCTCAAAAACACAAACACATACAAACATGCTGCTCAGGTATGATTGTAGCCCAACTTGTGCTGTTTACAGTGTTATCACACTTTAGCCATTAATATGTTTTTAAGATAGTGAAAACAACACAAATGTCAGAGCATGTCAAAACTTCTCCAGAGCCCCAAAACACCCTCAGACCCCAGAGGGTTAAGGCAAGTCAAGATTAAATTGCATATTTGAGCTGTCTCGACTCAAAATAACTTGCGGTGAGATGTCTTTTTATATATCCGTGTAATTTTTTTGTCTCCAGGTGCACACCAGTAATATTTTTCTAAGGCCATTTTTATAAATGTGTCTTAAATAGTCTAATTTAACTAAAGCCTAGACCTGGCTTAATCTAAGCCCTGTTTGTGAAACTGGACCATACTGTTCTAATCTAATGTAGATTAGATTTACTTGACTGGAATCTTATGAAACTTAGTCAACTAAAACTAGACTAAAAACTACAATGAATTCAGAAGACTAAAATATGATTAGTTCAATGATTAACTTAATGGAATTTAATTCAAAGGACTAAGGCTAAAACTAAATTAAAATTTGTCAAAATCAACACTGTTCTTGCATATTTTGTTAATCATAAAATCAAAAAAGTCTACCAAAGTAAAAAGCAGAAGATGTTGTCAAATTACCCCATGGTTGCATGAGCTTTCAGATTGTTTAACTTTTATTTAACTATTTGTTTTATTGAGTGTTTATTTGCAATTATAAGCAAAG